TTTGAATTTTCAATGCATTCTTGGGAAAGATAGTGGAGTGGCATCCTGTTGCCTTTTTTTATGGTTTGGAATATAGAGATTTCTTTCTTTTAGGCTCATTTCTGTGTAAGGCTAGACAGTCCAGAAAACCTTGCTATTTAACCCATAGCCAATAGTAAAAAGTGATGGATTCATGCCTTCCACAAGGGAATTTTTGTGGAGGTGAACAGAACAGACTAAGATTGAATTTGCATTTGACTCACCAATTTCACATTCCATGCCAACAGCCATTATATTACTTTCATATTCAAGAAGCAAACTGAGGCTTTTATACTTTACAATTTATTCGGAATATCAGAGAATGAAATGAGAATTCTTCTGAAATAATTTTTCATTCAAGCCATGAAGAATACTTTTGTGTACTAGAATGATTCAATTATTTCCTTCAATTTTCCAATTTTCAATCATATTGGAAAAGTTAATGGAGTCTTTAAAAGACTTCATACTGTCTGGTTTTCAAATAAGATTACTCTCTGTCTGAGTGAAACTCAAGTTAAACGACTATTGTTCTCTCAACTACTTTATATGCAGTTGAAACTTGGAAATCCACCACAGAAGTTATCCAACACTTAAACGATGAAGTCCAAATTCTAGAAATTTAGTGTAATAGTGGCAGGGAGGCTTATACAGTTCACTGGTCATATCTTGACAATCATCCAATCAAAGTTACTCTAAACTAGACATCTCAAGGCTGCAAAAGACCAACAGATCATCCTAAAATGACATGTGCAGTTAAAGAAGAACTGAGAAAAAAACACCAAGATCTCATCATTTTACAGTTGAAATGGCTAGATGTAACTGTTCTATGTTAACAGTTTCTTCTCTCGCACTTCTCACTTGTGGAACTCTCTTCTGGCTTCTTGCTTTCAGAATTCTCTTCAGCCTTCTTGCTTTCCAGTCAGCTTTGATCTTCAAAAATTTAAATGCAATATCAATCGTTATCTTCTGTCTTCTTAATTCCTGTTCTTTTATTGTTCTCTCTCCTTAATAATGTTTGTCTTTTTCTCATATTCTCACACACTCAATAACCCTTGTGTGTTAGTGACCTTATTACCTTGCTTGGGGTGAAATAATTATAGAAGAAAAATGCATACCCATATCTCTACCTAAAATGTATCTGCATGAAGAGTAAATATTAGGGGGCACCTGTGGTAAGCATGTAGAGTTTTTTTTGAGAGTGAAAATAATAATTGCAAAAGAAAATATTGAAAACAAGAGAAGCAAAGGAAAGCAGTGGGTAACCTATTTGACAAATCTGAGTTTTATTTTTTATGGCTTATCAACCCATGCAAATTATTTAAAGCTAGAAAATATTTTTACATTGTAAGAATTTAAAAAAAAATAATAATGGTTTTGTGATAAGATTTTACTAATTAACCCATAGCTAGGGGAAAAAGGTGGATTCATACCTTTCCCAAGAGTATTTGCACATACATGAATATAACAAGCCCAATGGGAATTGGAACTCAGCTTTCCAAGTAACAATTTCAAGCCATCACTCCACCCTGACATCCAAGTTTATAGCACCTTTTTATTCTCAGTCACGCATCTAGGTACTGACCAGGCTCAGTGTTGCTTAACTTCAGTTATCATACAGGAACCAGTGTTTCAAAGTTATGTGGGCATAAGCCTCAAATGGATGGTGGAACAATTATCACAAAGAGGGGTTGTAAAAGAAGAAAACAAATGATAGGAAGATGTGGAGAGTCATGATCAACCATGTCCTGAGAAAATGTTGCATGGTACATGAAAGAGAGATAAAATGAGAGAAACCTTTCTGAATTCTTTTTCTATTAAGTCATTTGAAGTACTTTGCTTTTATTTTTTCAGGAACTTTAGATTAAGGTAAATACTCAATATTGGATTACTAGACTGTTTCCCTTCCACTGCCCATATCGAAGGATATATTGTCTAATTATTATTTTTAATACTGCTCAGTTATTACCCTGTTTCCAATGAGTCCAAGTACACACTGAACAGCCTAGGGATTGAACTCAAAGTTACTATCACTAAATTCATGAACCAACACTTTAATCCACTAGACCAATGATACCCCACTGATGGGGCATGGTAATATTTGGGTGGGGCATGCGTAGGATGGGCATCCTTTGGTTTACTGTAGCAACGTGAGCTCAGATTTCATTTTGCATTATTATTTCATGATTAAAATGACCAAAGTATATTACAGAATAAACTTTCATTCAAATATTTTATATTTCTGTTTTTCAGTTCTCTATTATGATTTGAAACTATATACAGGGTGTTTCAAAAAGAATATGCCAAAATCATTACACTGTTTTCTCAGGTCTATAGCATTGTAGTGGACTGAATCAGTGGTTATTTGATAGAGTAATTATCAAAGTTTGATTGGGTGTCAGTTTCACCGCTGTTGTTAGTATAACTTCCGCTGCAGCTACAAACAGGACAAACCTATCTCGAAATGCTGCAAAAATGGCTATTCACTTTACTGCAAGCAGATTCGAATGACTACATTTTTCAGCAAGATGGAGCACCACCCCATTGGCATCTCAGGGTTAGAGCTTATCTGAATGAAAACGTGCCTCAGCAATGGATTGGGAGGAGAGGTGCTAAAAGACCTTGCTCTCTGTGCTTAGCCTGCCAGATCCCCAGTCCTCACTGTGTGTGACTTTTTCTTGTCGGGGTATGTTAAAGACCAAGTTTATGTTCCAGCACTTCCAGCAAGTATCGATGACTTGAAAGATTGAATAACAGCTGCAATCAACACAGTGGACCGTGACATGCTGAGGCGCGTTTGGGAGGAATTCTCATATCGGCTTGATGTTGTCCGCGCTGCGGTGGTAAATACATTGAGCACTTATAAAACATGAAATGAAACTTGAATGTATATATATAACACATGTGTTCATGCTAGAGTTTTGTAATTTTTTCCGTTTTTGACATATCACGTGATGATTTTGGCGTGTTCTTTTTGAAACACCCTGTATATTTAACTGTCTTTGTTTTTTAATTTTTCTCTTTCATGGATGCCATGGTCTTTGGAGGCTTGTTTAGAGACCAAGTTAATGGCCTTTTACACTTCCTTCATGTAAATTGCAGTAAAATGTTGAATATGTATGAATTAAATATTACAGGGCGACACCAGAATTTTAAAAATACCCAAGTGGGGCATGGCCCAAAATTAGTTGGGAACCACTGCACTCGACTAATGTCCCATCAACATGAGCAGTGGAAAAAGAACAGTATCCCTTTAGATTAAATAAAGGGTTCAGTTCAGAATTCTCTGAATTTTACCCAGATCGATATATACTTGATGAAAGCTGGAGGGGACAACAGCTGAAATGCTGTGATAACAATAACAAAGATGAGGACAATAGTCTGCATGTAAATAATGTAAATAATAATAACTCCTTATCCCATAAATTTAGACAGAAGCATTTACAGTGTATATAAGAGAAAACCGGATATAAGAGAGATTTTCTCTGGTCCCAAATTAGAGCCTGTGTTAATGTATATAAAATAGACCAAACCCGGATATAAGAGAAACCCGGATATAAGAGACTTCTTATCCGGTCCCGACAACTCTCTTATATCCGGGTTACACTGTAGTTGAATAAAGTAAATATTTTGAATTGTGGTCTTTACATTGTCTTTTATCTGGGCAAGAATATTTTTTTATATATAGAAATATAATTTATGCACTGGATGTTTTAATTTTTACACGCCTGAAAAACTGTTAACATTATTAGAAAAATATCAAATTGAATTGCATTTAAAAATTATGCTCATCCATACTGTTTAATGATTATTTTTTTAAACATCGAAAATGACAAATAATAGAAAATAATTTCATAGGAAAAAGAGATTGTTGGGGCATCAGTAAATAAATAAAAAATAAAACAATTGATAAAGGATTTAGTTTAAATGAAAATGATATATAAATAAATAAATAAATAACTTACATTTACAGCAAGAGTGTTTTGGGTTACGCTCTAAGGTGTTTGTAATTTTTTTTTTTTTTTTTTTTTTACTGACGTTTCCTCCATTTTTAGCACAAGCGATCTTTGCTTCTCTTAATTTAACGCGCAAGCGGTGGAGTAAAAATGGCGGACGAGCTCGGTAACTGAGTTACAAAATCGAAAACTTTCATGTCTAATTCATGACAAATAATACTTTTGTTTTTGTTTTTTTTATCTAGTGATATCATAAAACAGCTCGTGACACGCATCACATTGAGTAACGTCTCTTCTCTTTCTTTGCTTAAAAAATGAGAAAATGTTTCTTTTTTTTTTTTTTTCAAGACTATTTTAGCAACGGATGCTTTTAAATCCAACTTTACTAGCGTAGCGTTATCGCGAGTTACATTCATTTAAAAAAAAAAAAAAGTGTTTTTCTACTTAAATACGAGCACTAATCCATTATTTGGGATTTTTATTAACTTACTTATATTTTTTTTAACTCGCACATGCGCGTTAACAAACAAAAATAAAAAAACAATAAAAAAAACAGAAAACAAAAAAAAAAAAACAGACACCCCCCCCAAACAGCGTGTACAAAAGTCTTGTCACCCCTACACAATATAATTTTATTTTCAGATGGTTGACACGGGCTCTTACAGTTTGGAAGAGAGGTAGGGGTGACAAGATTTTCAGACCACCCTATAAACTGACAACCCCTCCATTCCCCCAAAAATAATAGAAAAAATTATTGTATTTTCTTTCGTTTGACGCTAATGTGCCGCGACCTACAATTATTAATTGTTTGGGGATTGCAAGAATAAAATAACATAAAAACTCAAAATTAAATTCAAAACATTGACTGACATAAAAAAAAAAATAAACCAATAACGAGATATTTCGGTGTAACATGTGTAAACACTTTTTTTTCACTTTACATAAAAAACATAAACTAATAATTTTGAAGCATGTGTTTTTTTAGTTTAAAAAAGCAGTTGGTTAATAATAACACGTTTACGATCTCACCTGTTTCTTTTGCTTTGCGAAATCTTCATCGTTTTCAAGTTTAGGGTTAGGGAAAGGATCGCGATTGCACGTAACGCTGGAAATCATTGCACCTGTAATTAATTACCTGTCGTTCACTTCTTTTTGTTTTTTGTTTAAGTGTTTGTTTATTATGATCTTTGTTTTTAAAACCCTTTTCCTAATTTTTGTTTGTTTGTTTGTTATCTAAAAATAAAATTAAGCAAAAACAATCAGTCGAAAAATCTGACAAGATGACAGGTGCTTAGCTTATTCCTCGAAAAAGATTTTTCTTCTTTCTTTTCTCATAAAACCCCTTAAAAAATAAATCTCTCGTTGTCGATCCTTGATAAACGACAGCTTAGAAGTCGGCCCCTGTCCGTCTCCAGGAGTAACGGTCAACAATACAAACTCAAAACTAATGACCTAATTACCATGGAGACGGGAGTAAATATGCGTCCACGTGTTAAACTCTTAAGAAAAAGAAAAATCCCGTTAACGAAGACGAAGATAAATTTGGAGTGAAGTATTTACTTACAGCTCCTTTTTTATCACCTGCAATGAAATGAAGTGGAAAGCCTTTGTCTTCTTAAAACAATAAATATGTTTGTGAACTAACAATGAGTCAAAAATAAGTTTATTGTTTTCTTTTTCTTTTCTTTTTTTTTTAACTTTTAAGCCTTGCTTAATTTGGTACAAACATAACAATAACAGGACACTCTTGAGAAGAGTACACTTTTACGACCGCTTCGTAGGCACTTCGATTTGGTGTAATGATCCTTGTCTTGCTTGAGATCGATTACGACTAAGCAGCGAGTTCGATCCACACCTGATGCTTTCTGCCTTGCGCCACATAAGCTGCGCTTAGTAAATCGCTTTACGACCTCATGTCTAGATCAAAGTGTGGTATCTGTTCTACTCTTTTTAAACCGTGGAGAAACCTGGTCTCGGGGATTCCGGCCCTTCAACAACGATTTCTTCATTGCACTCATGAGGGTGGGTTTGATTGATTTGTGTTTTTGTTGTTTTTTTTTACAGCTTAACCTTTTGTGGGTTAAAGCCGAAATATATTTGGGATTGTTAAAAATAATTCTTTTCTTTTTGGTCAGTGGATTGCATTAACAATTTTGGGGCAATAACAATTATTTTTCCAGATACAAGTCCTACTATTTAACCCATAGAATGGATTCATACATTTCCCAAGAGTATTTGAACGTAAGTGAATGTAACAAAGTCGACTGGAATTCGAACTCGTCCCTCTGATTTCAGTTACACCACCCGCACATCAACGGGTTGGAAGATATCGTCGTCAGTGTGACACATAGTCGCAGGAACTAGACAAGTTTTGTCCTTGGCTCATACGTGTGTGTATGCTTGGGCATCCCATCACATTAAAAACAACCTTGTATTGCCATTGTGGGGAGCTTCTTAAATACTACTCTCTGAGTAGTATTTGTTAGTTAACCTCTCGCAAACCATTAGCTGCTAAATACAAAATTAGAGTCTAACTTGCCAAACCATTCTTCTATTTATTTAGGGTTTCCCTTTGTGTTGTAAGGGTGAGGGAGAGGAAGAAAATTTACTTATGTAGAAGGTGTCATCATTTATTTAGTTCATCGCATTTTTCAGTTATATGCATTGTGACTTTAAGGATAAAGGCGTTGGTTAGATCCAGTGATAGTGTGAGTTCAATACCTGGTTAAGGCAGTGGAGAACTTGGAGAGGTGAATTAACAGGAGATAACTGATAACTGACATACATTACCCCAGTGAGCGAAATAAAGGATTCAGTTCGACATTCCAACCATCTGAAGAAGGCCGGAGCGCACAACGGCCGAAAAGTTGTGATAAATGTGGCAACAAAGATGAGGACAATAGTCTGAATAATGTAAATAATGAAAAAGCATTCTTGAAGGTTTCATTTTAGCTTTAATTGAAAGATAACTGATTATTTTCAGTCAATAAAACATTCTGGTGTATTTCAAATAAAAATTATATAGATCGGAATCTCAACTTTGGGCTGATTTCAAAAAATTTTCTTAAAAGCGGCCATTTTCTTAATTTTAAGAAATTTGTAAACAAAACAAAATTATGTATTTTAAAAATCTTCCAAAAATACTTTGGTCTTTCCTCTTAATAATAACATAAACATTGTAATGACAAAACTTTGTTTTTATTGAGTTTTTGGCCTTTTTTCATCATGCTATGCTGTTTTTTACGCGACCAAGTAGAAGTACTTATTTGTCTGTGTATATAATATGAGAAACTTTGTATAAGAATCAAACACCAAAAAGAAGGGCGCCTGACGAAACGTTGCAATCCTATCACTGTTCTATCGCTATTTTCATGGTAAATGTTCCGACGAGCTACATTCATTCATTCATTTTCACTAGTTCAGACTGTCACAGATAAGAGCCGCCATGTCATGTACATTTTATAAATTGATAAATGGAGAACGCTTGAAGAAGTAGTGGGAGAAACGAAGTGAATGAAAAAACAAACAAAAAACAAATAAAGCTAGAAATAAAATAAAACTTTGACTTGGTAAATAACAGTTTTGCAAATATGCAAAATTACATGAAAAATGTTATACTGAAGCAGTTTCAAAAATTTATTTTAGTGTTTAATAACTGTGCATAAGAAATATTTTGATCATCATGATAAATAGTTTCCCTCTAAAGGATGCAGAGTAACTGGCCGTGGTTAAGTGTAGTTGACAAAATTGATAAAGTTCTTAATAAACAATAAGAAAAAAAAAAAGATAAAATAATACACAACGGCAATATTTACGCAAGTCAAAACTAGACAACGAAAAAGTAAGACTCCATTTGTCCTTTATTACCAAGACCCCAGCCGAAAAGTGGCTTAGGCAGTGTATTTGGTCGGAAGCCTAAGGTAGTTAAGAACAACAACAAAGATATGAAAGCAAAGTAGGAGTGTGCATCATAAGATTTTTTTTTACTTATCTGTGTGCATTGGTTGATGCAAGTGTTATACAGCTCTTAAGAACATAGAAATTTTCATATATTATTCTGTACATAACTGTATAATTTATAAAATAGAGACGGCGGTGCCGCGGTTTTTTCTTTGCCTGCTGCCGCGAAACGAGTTTAGGCTCTGCCCTTTCTTTCGCCGACTAAAACGTGCTACCCACGACCGACCAACCTTTTCCGTTTGCTGACGGCGATGCACGCTCATTACGAGTCCCGACCGTCGAGTTGTCTCCTGAAGACTACGGCGGGCAGAGAAGGTGACTCGACGGTATTGATAAATGGAGAAGGCTTAGAGAAGTAGGACTGAGGAGGTGAATAAAAACTTTGGCTTTCAAAAAAAAACAAAAAAACGTTAGAAATAAAATAAAATAAAAAGTAAAATAAAATTTTGATTCTGTAAAGTGCAATTGCAAATATTGCAAAATTACATGAAAAATGTTCTTGCACTTAGTTTTAAAAATTCTTTAGTGAATAATAATTGACCATAATAATTATTTTGATGTTAGAATTTTCACTCATCATGATGAACAAGTACACACTCAGGGAGGTTATTTGATTTGAATATTTATTTGGACTCAAGACCCCAAAAAAAAAAAAAAAAAAAACTCAAACGAAACACATGTATACGATCCGTCTTTTTTTTTTTTTTTTTTTTTTTTGTAGAATTTTTCTCGTCAGAATTCACCTTGTACATTTATAAATCTACCATTTGCCAATGCAATGAATATTGCTGCCATATCTGGTCTGGTACTCCTACTATAAATTTCGAGATTCTCGACAAAATTAAACGAAGGATCTGCAATGTAATCAGTCCTGACCTGGCATCTCATCTTCAGTCACATTCTCGCCGACGTGACGTGCCTTACCTTTGTATTTTCTACAAATATTTTCTTGGCAATCGTTCTGATGAGCTTTCAACATTGATGGTTCGACTGCATGAATTTAAAAATGCTACCAGATTGGCAACTAGGTATCAACATTTTACTGTTGAACTGGCTAGATGCAACCATATATTCTGTTCTAATACTTTTTTCTCACACTTCTTGCCTGTGGAATTCCATTTCGATTTCTTGCTTCCCTGCCACTTGACCATCTTAAATGAAATGCCAATCGTCATCTTCTGCCTTCCTGACACCTGTTCTTTTATTGTCCTCACATCTTCTCACTAAATTCTTCTCAATCTCTTTCACTCTCAGTAACCTCTTGCTTCCTAGTGGCATTATCACCTTGCTTGGGGTGAGATGATTAAAAGAAATCTCTAAAGATGCTAGTAAAATGGTTCCATATACAGCTCCAGAAAGTACGTAACTCCTCTCGACATGCCCACTCTTTACAGGAGCCAGATCAGACCAAAAATGAAGTACTGCTGCCATATCTGCATTGGATTTATCCATTCCCCATTTTCCTGCTTTAATTTAGTCCATCTACATGACCATGTGGGTGATGGATCAATTTCCATTCCCCAACCTCTTTCCCATAGACGAAATGATGCAAGCTTCTGTCTATTCTGCTGCTATTTCTATTGCAAATGTTCTGACGAACTACATTCATTAGTTCCACTAATTCTGACCTTCACAGCTAAGACCTGCCACGCCAAGCACACTAGGGCAAATCATCCCCATTCCCTTTATATTCCATTAGTAAAGAGGAAGTTCCATTGAGACAACTTCTTTCCAAGAATATCTATTTTGTGTAACAGACTCCCGAGACGATGCTTCCTGGACCCCTACAATCTTAACACCTTCAAGTCTATAGTCAATCGTTATCTTTCCAACATCTCTTCATAAATTGCACTTCTTATCTCCTCTGATGTTTATACAACAACCATATTCATTAACCCTCAATCTTAAGTGGCTCTTGGACCTTGTATTAGGTGAACAATTAGTAAAAAAAATCACACCAATATAATTTTGGCAATTTTATTTATTTGTATCAACAAAATAACTGCTATGTACAGTGATCCAACTCTAAATCAGTTCCTCTCATAATGGATTTGTTGCTAACGTAACGGTTATTGGCGCAACACCGTTGTGCATAGTCCAAATTCTGACCGTTCTGTTTCGTTCACTTCGGACTAAAAGGTATGGATCCATCTCTC